ACACTGCTTAATTAAGTGGGAGAGCAGTGTTAAAGTCGCTGGTTTAATAGCGGTAGAAATATAGAAGAAAGGAGAGAGAGAAGGAGGAGAGAGCGTGCATTATCGTCCTCCATTTTGCTCGACGGAGAAGATCTTACTGGATTTAAATATATTCAAAAAGTGAGCAACTAAACCACAAAGTTACTCTCAGTGACCGCAATATTAGTTACACGTACTCCAGTATTCATTCATTCAAACTGTAGTACTTTTTAAAAATGAGAGTCTGATCAGTAAATTCCAGTAAGCTCCTTGTATAAGATTTAAAAATGTGCTTAAAATATGACAATAACCTTATATTTAGATATTTTACTTTATTTACTTTATTTGAGTAATTTGAGTACTACTGCCTCTCCAGTCACTTATACAACTACGTGGTAAATGGTCTGATTTATAAAGTACTTTTCTACATCATCATTCATTAAGTGGCGTTAAGTGTCTTGCCCAAGGACACAATGACAGTAAAGGATTAAAATGGACAACCTTCGAATCGGAGGATGAACACTAACTGAGCTACTGTCTACTACTACTACTACTACTACTACTACTACTACTACTACTACTACTACCTCCATTACTAGTACTACTAACATGAGTACTACAACAACCTACTACTACTACTACTAGACCCACAACTACCACTATTACTACTCCTAGTATTACTGAGACTCCAACTACTACTACTACTACTAACTACTAGACCTTTTACTACCACTATTACTACTACTACCACTACTGCTACCCCTACTGCTGCTGCTAGTACTATTACTACTACTACCACCATTACTAGGACTACTAACATGAGTACTACAACAACCTACTAGTACCTACTACCACTGTGACTACTACTCCTACTACTACTGCTACTATTACTATACTATTAGACTAACTACTACCACCATGACTAGTACTACTAATACTAAAATGAGTACTTCAACCTACTACTACTACTACTACTACTACTACTACTACTACCACTGTTAATACTACTACCAGTACTGCTACCCCCACAACTACTACTGCTACTACTACTAGACACACAACTACCACTATTACTACTCCTACCATTACTGAGATTCCAACTACTAGTACTATTACTATTGCTACTACTGCTATCACCACCACCACTACTACTACTACTACTACCACTACTACTACTACTACTACTACTACTTCAATGACAAATAAATTCTGATTCTGATTCTACTACAAATACTACTACTGTAACAAAACTGTAACTACTCCTACCACTTATGCAACTTCTGCAATTACTACTACTACTACTACTACTACCATCACTACTCAATCAGAGGTTCAGCAGCTGTCATTCATTGCAGTACTCACAAAAGCATCACGGTTTGTGTTTGCAGTTTGAAAAAGAATATATGTACTTGATAAACAAGTCGTCTTTGGACTGTATACTTCTTGACATTGACATTAGCCTCCCTGAATAAATAATGCATATTTTCAATCAGTGAAAGGCTTTAGATATCAATACATTCACAAGTACACACAAGTTTCATTCAAAGCCTGGCCTGCCTCGACCTTGTTTTTGTTTACACAGACATCAGCAGCGGTCTCCCTCCTCTTTACCATCCGCACGAGCTCGGAATAGAATTTAACACGTCTACGCCTGAGTTCAAAGGTCAAATCAGTGGAATATTTGACACATTAGCTTCATGTTGTGTTTATGGTCGACATGGTAACCTCCCGGCATTACTCGATGGCACAGACACAATGCCCTGAGCGCGTCTGATTCACCGTCTGATGTTTTTTTTTTTTTAAAGTCTTGTTTTCTTAGCAACCGTGCCAAAAAAGAAGAGGAGCTCCCGATGACAGCGCACAAGTCGTGTGCGATTGTGTTCAAAAGCAATCAATGAGCTCCATCACGCCCAATGTGTCAACAGCACTTAAACACGCTCTTACAGGCACCGCGGAGGACGAGACGGACGCGAGACCGACAAGAGGAGGAGTGGCAAGGAGAGAGGGAGGGAGAGAGAGGTAGAGGAGAGGTAGGAGAGGTAGAGGAGAGAGAGGAAGAGAGAGGGAGATTGGGAGGAGAGGGAGAGAGAGAGAGGAGAGAGGAGAGAGGGAAGGCAGCCAAAAAGCACTGAGAGAAGCACAGGAGAGGTAGAGGAGAGGGAAGAGAGGGAGAGAGAGAGAGAGCGAAATTGGGAGGAGAGGAAGAAGAGAGGACAGACAGGGAGGAGAGAGGGAAGGCAGCCAAGAAGCACTGAGAAGAGGAGACGTAGGAAAGGCAAAGGAGAGGGGAGAGAGAAAAGAGGGAGAGAGAGAGGGAGGAGTTGGAGAAAGGGAGAGATGAAGAGAGATAGAGAGGAGAGAGGGAAAGCAGCCAAAAAGCACTGAAAAGAGGAGAGGTCGGAGAGGTAGAGGAGAGGGAGGGAGAGAAATAGGAGAGAAGGACAGAGAGAGAGGAGAGAGGGAAAGCGGTGAAGAAGCACCGAGAGGGGTGGAGGTAGGAGAGGTAGAGGAGAGAAAGGGAAGGAGGGAGGAGAGAGACAGAGTGGGAGGAGAAGTATAGAGAGAGGGAGGAGAGGGAAGGCAGCCAAGAAGCAGTGATCAGAGGAGAGGTGGAAGGATAATGCCGTAGACCAGTGCTTCTTAAACTGCGTGTTCTGGTGGTTAACTTAATTTAGAGTCAATTCATTTAATCCAAATGTTTCTCCTCCTTTGGGTTAGTCCTTGTTTCTGTAGGCACGGTGGAGTCTCATTTTAGACCTGGTTTAGCCCTAATTTACATCTGATTTAATCCTGTTACAGGCAGTGTTGGGGAGTAACACATTACATGTACCGGAGTTACGTAATCAGAGTACAAATTATGAGTAACAGTATTCGGTTGCAGTTACTGTTTCCATGAGTGGTAAGTGGATTACATTTACTTTGTTGAAATAAATGGATTACATGGCGGTATTTTGCTGTTTTCACATTTTGGGCTATCCCTTTTTTTTTCTTTTTTTTTTTTTCGGTAATTCCACTCATTGCCGGACACTAAACCAGGTCTAAACCAGGTCTAAACTAGGACTAAACCAGGACTAAACCAGAACTAAAAGCAGGACTAAACCAGGACTAAACCAGGACTAAAACAGGACTAAACCAGGACTAAAACCAGGACTAAACCAGTACTAAAACAGGACTAAACCAGGACTAAAACAGGATTTAACAGGACTAAATCATGCTGCATGGATGTGTCTCCTCCTCTTCTATCAATAATATTTTTAATTTGGTTAAGTAAAGTCTGACAAAACATCTTATGTGAAGATATCCTCGTCTTTGCTTCTCTACAGCAACTCAAGTAATCCCAAGTATTCAGATTACGTTACTTACTTTAAGTAATTTAATGGATTACGTTACAAACTACATTTTGGGATATGTAATCTGTAATCTGGAGGGGAATACATTTTAAAAGTAACCTTCCCAACACTGATTATAGACGTGTGATAAACATATCGGTGTTTCAGGTTCAACGTTAATGTCATGGTTTGATTTCCACTTCCGTTTGGCAAGAGTAAGTTCATATTTCCCTCTGGTTACTTCATTGTAATCTTTTCTTAAGATGGGGCCTTTAGTGTATTTGGTTTAGGTTTAGTTCAGTTTTACTTTGGGCTAATTCACTGTTGCTTAAATATTTGTCCCTAGAGCAAGGATGTAACAGTTGTACAGTGGTGGACACTAACCAGAAAGCAGTTATTGTTATTGTTGATCTACTGTTAGCGACCCTCGGGATGTTTAACAACCCCCGTTTGTCTTAGTTCAATATTGGCTGCACCAAAACATCGACCACCATCTCCACAGGCACAACGAGGTGACGAAAAAGACGGAAGGAGACACGGAATGGTTTAGTCCTGGTTAAATCCCGTTTAAGTCCTGGTTTAGTCCTGGTTAAGTCCCGTTTTAATCCTGGTTTAGTCCTGGTTTAGACCTGGTTTAGTAATGGTTTAGTCCTGGTTTAGACCTGGTTTAGACCTGGTTTATTAATGGTTTTTACCTGATTTTAGTCCTGGTTTTAGTTCTGGTTCAGTTCTGGTTTAGTCCTGGTTTAGACCTGGTTTAGTCCTGGTTTAGTCCTGGTTTAGACCTGGTTTAGTCCTGGTTTAGTCCTGGTTTAGTAATGGTTTAGTCCTGGTTTAGACTTGGTTTAGACCTGATTTTAGTCCTAGTTTCAGTTCTGGTTTAGACCTGATTTAGTCCTGGGTTAGTTCTGGATTAGTTCTGGTTTACACCTGATTTTAGTCCTGGTTTTATTTCTGGTTTAGACCTGGTTTAGTCCTGGTTTTAGTCCTGGTTTTAGTTCTGGTTTACTTCCGCTTTTGTCCTGGTTTAGTCTTGGTTTAATCCTGGTTTCGTCCTGGTTCAGTCCTGGTTTAGTCCTGGTTTAAGTCCTGGTTTAGTCCTGGTTCAGTCCTGGTTTAGTCCTGGTTCAGTCCTGATTTAGTCCTGGTTCAGTCCTAGTTTAGTCCTGGTTTAAGTCCTGTTTTAGTCCTGTATTAGTCCTGGTTTAGTCCTGTTTTAGTCCTGTTTTAATCCTGCTTTAGTCCTGTTTTAATCCTGTTTTAGTCCTGTTTTAGACCTGGTTTAGTCCTGATTGATTTAAACCACCAAATCGTCCAAACACAATGAAAACAGTTCATTAAAAGTGACATTGGGCAGGATGCCCTTGGATTCTATCTCAGAATCTCAGTCTCCTCTGAGTTCTTCCGAGTTCTGAGTTGCACCGTCCGTGGAAAAGGGGCGTGTCAGTGCGTGTTGATGCAACGTCCTCGGATGGATAATCGAACGCACCATTGTAGCCCAGACGCGATACAGGGCGGAGTCATACAACAGGTCACAGTCACAGTCACAGTACAGGTATAATTATGAGTTCAGTTAAACATTTTTGCTGGAGACATGTGTGGGCAAGATGGTGGGCGGAGTCACGGTACAGGTACAATTGTGGGCGGAGTTACCTGTTGTAGCATTAAAGCTTGCTGCTGCTGGAGGAGAGCCTGGAGCTGAGGGGGGGACAGAATCTGCTGCATCTGCTGAGGAGTGATCATCTGAGGGCTCATCATCGCCATGGAGACTGGCACCTGCACACAAGCAAATACACCTTATATTATTCTACTATTACTACTACTACTACTACAAATACAACCACTACTACACGTCATTTTGAAAGTACAGGAGAAAACAAGAAAATATGTTCCTGTTGTGGTTTGGTAGTTACTTAATGTTAAATGTTTTGGAGATAAAGTTTTAAGATACAGAAGGAGAGGATCAGATGGAGCAGAAGAGGAAGAAGAGAGGAACAGGTGAAGCAGATGGTGCAGAGGAGAGGATCAGATGGGTCAGATGGACAGATGATCTAGAGAAGAAGGTCAGATGGAGAAGAGGATGCGGAGGAGAAGGTCAAATGGAGCAGAAGAAGAAGAGAAGAGGGTCAGATGGAGTAGAGGATGCAGAAGAGAGGATCAGATGAAGCGGGAGAAGCAAAGGAGAGGGTCAGATGGACAGATTATGTAGAGAAGAAAGTCAGATGGAGAAGAGGAGAGGGTCAGATGGAGCAGAAGAAGAAGAGAGGGTCAGACAGAGCAGAAGAAGAAGAGAAGAGGGTCAGAAGGACAGAGGATGTACATAAGACGGTCCGCTGGAGAAGAGGATGCAGAGGAGAAGGTCAGATGGAGAAGAGGAGAGGGTCAGATGGAACAGAGGATGTAGAGGAGAAGGTCGGATGGAGCAGAAGAAGAGGAGGGGGACAGGTGGAGGAGGACAAGAAGAAGAGAAGAAGGTCAGATGGAGGAGAGGATGCAGAGAAGAAGGTCAGATGAAGCAGAAGAAGATGAGGAGAGGTTTAGATGGAGCAGAGGAGAAGGTCAGACGGAGAAGAGGAGAGGGTCAAATGGAGCAGAAGAAGAGGAGAGGATCTAACTCAGCAGAGGATGCAGAGGGTCACACACACAGAAGATGACTCACAACAGCGACAACTCTACAAACTTCACAGTTCCATCCATTACACACCATTCGTCATCCGTTTGCGCAGAAAGCCTGACAAAACAAGACAAGGCGCACGCACACTTCCTTTCATTATTAACACAAAACAATTTATACTATTTGATGATAAAACGTCACATTCTGAATCTTATCTCCACGCATAAACACTCCATTAGGCCACTGTGTTCCCTGTCTACACCGTTACGGCTGGCTAGAACAAGCTAACAACAGCGTGCCTATCAGATCAGATGAGCGCTGATACCGGGGAAGGAAATACAAATGGGCTGTAGTACTGTGAACGCTGTGGAAGCTCTAAATCTGATTATAAACAGAACAAGACAACACTAAACACATGAACAGGGAAATCTCGTCTGCTAATGTGCAAATAAATACTCTCGGCATGCACCAGACAGCAGCTCGGCCACGCTCACACGCATTTGCATTTGTTAAGTAAATAATGGAAAAAAGAAAGGGAACATGCAAAGGGAGATATTTTCATTATACATGCTGTTTGTGCTGCTGGAGGAAAAATAAAAGATGTTTGGTGTAAGTTATTTCTCTTGAAGTGAAGTGAAGTAAGTAATCAATACAAAAAGTATCTTCAGATCATGATATTAGGGATGTAACGATATCCAAATCTCTCGGTACGATATTTTCACGATATACATCTCACAGTAGGGCTGGGCGATATGGAGCAAAAAATATATATTGTATATTTTGCTATATCTCGATATACAATATATATCTCGATATCTGTACAGAAAAAACAACCCCCCCAAAAACTACTGCAAAAACAAATATGCCAAATGCCACAGGGTCTTTTTTTTTTATTGAAGTGCAAGAGGCAGGCAGTTTAAGATTACAAAAAATCCCTAATTACATAAATAATAATTTAATTATAAAATAAAAGAAATAATACATATTGCCTTCTTTTCGTTCATAATTAAAACAACTCAACTCAAGCTCATCTTTGCATTAACTGTTAACCGTACGATAAAACAAAACAAAACAAAAACATGAGCTCCTTTAGCAGAGGAAGCTCAGGAGGTTCATTATTTTAACAGATCCATGTTCCTCATCAGTGTAAGGAGCTCTGAGGTTTCCCACAATCCACTGCAGATCAAACCGAACGTTTCCAAACACTATTGTACAAATGACACTGCAGTAGATTATTCATTAAAATCTTGGTAAATGGTAAATGGTCACATTTTTCTATAGCGCTTTTCCACCTTCAAGGCACTCAAAGCGCTTTACAACAAGGAACCACTCACCCATTCACACACACATTCACACACCAGTGTACGCAGACACTAGGGGCAAGGTGGGTTAAGTGTCTTGCCCAAGGACACAACGACAGCATTCATCTGTGGGAGCTGGAATCACACCAGCCAACCTGTGGGTCAGTGGATCTGACCGCTCAACCTGTGATGTTTTTATGTCGAGAGCTGGAATCGAACTGCCAACCTTCTGCATAAATAAACTTTACAACATATAACGCAAAACGACTTTAGAGCCACATCAGCCTGTTTGACATTATAATGGGTTTAATGCAGTTTTACGCACATGTGTTTACAGAAACAAAACTTAAAACCACATGACTCATTTGCATAAACAGTTTGCAGTTCTTGTGCACTGATGTGGTTCAGCTTCTGTCGGACTAAAGGACACGACTCAGTGGAATTTGAGGATGTGCTGCTGATGGTCTTGTCTGTAAATGGTGGAAAGGTTTTGTGGTGCTAGAAGCTTTTCATTGGTACCAACTTTTGGCGTTCACGGTGGTAGTGAGGAGTGAATGAAACACAAGCAGCAAAATCAGGGAGGTGGGGGAGCATGGGGGTAGGCAAACAGATGAAACGGTCAAATCAGAATTAAATATAAGCATTATATCGATATATACGATATGTCAAAAGTTTATAAAAATCTCGATATATTTAAATATATCGAGATTTTTATATCACCCACCCCCATCTCAAAGTACGATATTTATTGCAATATTTTGTGAAGGCTGTGAATATGCTACTTTTTCCTCTTAAAATGCCTTGACAAGACTTAATCCAAAGAACTAAGACTTAAAAGTGTTTAGAACTGTTATTTTTTCTTGTAGTCGACATTGAATTGGAGCAAAGGATCATGGTCTATGTAGTTCCCCCTGTCTTTTTTTAGTTGCTTTAGTCGAGCTTCATTTGAGCGCTTAGTCCACATTTTTATACAGTCTATGGGCTAAAATAAAACTAAAGCAGTGCCACATAATGCTTCCAGTAACAATTACAATGTGTACTAAACATTTGGAAAATCATTTTGACTTGGAAATTTGGAAAAGTTGAACTTTGTTGTGTGAATGAAGGGCCATAATGAGATGTAGTATTTAAGGCTACGTTCAGACTGCAAGGCTTAATGCTCAATTCTGATTTTTTTGTGTTTAGTTTTTTTAGTTGCTATTGCTGCACCATGACTCTTCATTTAAGCAAACAGACTTCTTTTTTTTTTTCCAATATATTGTGATTGTCCACAATATTATTGTGAGAACTTTGGAGCTAAAATATCACGATATTTCGGTTATTGTTACATCCCTACTAGATCCCTTTTTGACATTTTCAGTACAGTACATTGAAGACTGATCATTTGTTTACATATTTAAACATATTTAAAAGTTATATGGGGAAAACAGTGGATTGAGAATGTACTTATATTAACTTATGTTGTCAAACTTTTTTTGTAGAGTGCATTACAACAGAAGAGAACAAGAACTGACTGAAAGTGGTTTCCGTAAGTACAGTTAATGTAATTTTTCCCCATGAAATTGAAGTCATTGCTTAGATATACAGTAGTATTCTGTACAGACGGGCTGTGAAGACCACCAGCACGTGGAAGTGCCTCCAACACAGAATGTTTTGCAGATAAAGAATGCACCTGTTGTTTTTGTATGTGACATGAAAATGACAGTTCATGAAAAATGAAACTAATATTTGGGGTTGTTTTTAATCCTGCCTCAGAAAATATGTTTGTCTATATCATCAGTGAACCCAGACTAAACCATAGACTCTATATATAAATGGACAAAGCTAACGCACTTCAAATAGGAAGTTCACATTTGGCTCTTTCGGCTTCTTCTGACTCTGGTTCCCATTGACTTACATTGGAATATTGTGGTCCCTCTCTCTGTAACTGTTGCTGTGAGCCTCGTCATTTTGGTCTTAAAATGTTCGTATTAACTCGCTCTACATGATCCTGTTTTTTTTTTTCTTGCTATTTTGTTGGCCAAAAAATCCTATTCATAATATAGAGCCTGTAACTGTGAGGATCTCGAGCTTCATTTGAGCGGCGCTGAACACTATGGGTGATGTCGCACTAAGTCTACATTTTTATACTGTCTATGGACTAAACAACAAGTAAAACAGTGCCACATAATACTTCCAGTAACAATTACAACATTTGGAAAATCATTTTGACTTGGAAATTTGGAAGTAGACCTTTGTTGTGTGGATGAAGGGGTTTAATGAAATGTATGTAAGGCTATGTTCAGATTGCAGGGCTTAATGCTCAATTTGCATTTTTTTAAGAAATATGATTTTTTTGCGAGGTCGGTCACATTTCCAATTAAATATGACTTGTATGTGATTTCCGGTGTGAACTTTATACGACCTAAAAGTGCCCCACATGCGCACTGGAGAACACGACGACGTCAAACACAGCAAGCGTGTTCAGTGTTTACGAAAGTAGCCTATACATGGATGCAGCATTGAGCACCTGGAGATTTTAAAGTTCCTCTCGTACCAGAGCCAGAACATGTACAGCTTATTTGTTTTAAGGAGAAGATTGAAAAGGAGAAGGACGAGGTTTTTGGCCATGGCGTTTTGTGGGACAGTGGCAGCAACGTCCGTAGAAAAGAACTTGTGGTGGGTGCAGAATCGCAGCCAAGAGTGGTGCTTTACTGCTTCACTCACACAGAGTTCATACACAATTTTCGTATGACGAGCAGAACATTTATGTACATTTGTGAGTGCCTCCTTGTACTACTCTTGCAGGAGTGTTGATGACGTGTAGGTGGGGTGAATGCGACCTGGCCGTTCAGACTGAAGCCGCATGTCAAAGCTCGGAT